TTATGCAAAAGTAAAAACTTGTTAGAGTGTATATTACAGCAAAGACAAAACACGAGCGCGGAGCACCCCCCCAGTACGAGAGCAGCAGATCATTATGTTTTCAGTTCAACCATGTCGGGGAAAACGATCCAAACCATACAAGTAGCCCATCGATTTAAAGCCCAGACTCTGCTCTTTCCAACATTATAAGTGTCACAGCTCTATGTGAAAAATTCACAGGACAATAAGGAATAACGAAAAAGGCTAAATTTTGGAACCATAAACACAAACGTATTTTCTTTGTTTTTATGGCTTTAATCCAATTTGGAGTGATTTTTTTCCACTTGGCTGGACCTGTACATCTCCTGTGTTAAWKTTGGTTCATGTAATATGTTAATTCTGTACTGTGGAGATCATTAAGAGTCGTTGTCSAGTGAAAAAATCTTTTGCTAACACAGTGTTGCCTGCGAACCTGAAGTGATCGGCGTGGCCCCAAGTGCTGGACCGGATGTCCGTGGCATATAGGCTATTAATCAAGCRGATCATTAATCATCTGTAGTTCACCTCATCATCTTTCTGTTTGCTTTGGGTATTTTCTGAAACGGACCTCACATTGTCTCCGACTGGGACACACGAGGAAGTGGTGAGATGTGGACAAAAGGTTATTCTTGGTGCGTCTCTTACATGAGACCAGCTGGGAGTGGAGAACAGCATGGAGCTGCTGGAGCAGGATGTTTTGGATCCTGAAGCAACTCCAACATCATTTTGTTTCACTTCAGCTCAAGGCCATATTGAGAATCCGTCTTCGAAAGTGACTCAAAGAAAAACTTTGTWYTTATTGATGTTGTCGACGGTTATGGGTCAAAACCAAACATGAAGCAGTAATTTGGATGTTTTAGACTCTGGGGTTCCTGGGGACTTTATCTTCAGTCAGGAAGGTCCACTCCCCTCTGTTAGAGACAGCCACAGAGGTGTGGTCAACACACACACACACACACACAAAGTTTGCCTAATGATCCCTTACGCAATACAACTCCACCCAGCCCCCACCCATCACTAACCCAAACCACACCACACTACAACACAGGGGCTTGACCGAACCCCTCCCCCCACCATCCCCCAGCACCATCAGACCCATGTGAACGTAACTCTCTGAGGTACCCAAGTGTTCTTCACACCCTCCTCACTTTATTTCACTGCCTGCAGGAAGTTCAGCCAAATGAAAAAAGTGACTAAAAATCACTTTTTTTCATTACGAGTTTAAATATTCTTACTACACGTTAGGATGGGTTTGATGTCAGTGGATTAACTGTGGTTTWATTGCCTGAAAAGATATTTTGCAGCTCATCCTCACATCGTGTCTGGAGTCAGTCTGTGAAGGAAAAACCAGAAACCAAACACCTAACGGTCTGAGGATGCTGGGTTCAAGAAAACCTGCAGTTTTTATCCAACTGGAGACCAGAATCAGACCAAGGTCGTGTTGTCTCTGTGGTTTGGATGGTTTTACACACTCATCTGTTGACAACTGGGATTGGGATTAGATTTATAACCTGTTTAAGAACCCTTGCAGAAAGGGTCTGTTATGAAAGTTGACCGAAGGCCTGACCTCTGTTTGCAGATATGATGCAGCTTCGTGTCTCTGAAATGTTGAGATAAAAGGAGCAACAACTTAGAAAGCAACGGAAACTAGGATTAAAGCAGAGCTAATCTCTGGGAATCTGTGAGAAATATGCACGCTTCACAACACAAAACACTTCTTTTATAGGATTTATGTGCAAATTAYTGCATATTTAGTTATCCCTCATTGACACATAACATTTAAAAAATGGTTGTTTATTTTAACTGATCATATTCTTTGTTAAAATGTCCTGCCCGCGGTACATTTCCAGTTTGTGGTTACTGGTTACTTTATAGCCTGACCCACACTACCAGAGACTTTGAATTTGTCTAATAGGCAATTCAAACGATTCGATTGGCTGTCTTCTTTTGATTGACACCTCTTTTGACCAACTGGGTTCATCTATAGACTCTCCAGAGCCCAAACTGTGTGGCAAGCCACTGATATCCCACCCGTACATGGTACACATGACTGATTGACTAGAATCAGCCAATCAGCTCTGAGCTTCATTCTGACACCACAGCTGTGTAGCCAATCATGTTACATTTTAATCGATATACAGATATGGAAATGAAAACAATGTAATAATGGTTATATTGTATTTTAACTTCCATAACTAAATACTAGTTAAAGTTATAAAAATTATGACTGTGTTTACTGCAAAGGCTTCAAGAGCAGTTCTTCATTTAATCTGGATTAGCCCCACAGGTTGACAGGTTAAATTTTAATATATATTCAAACACTGAACATCTGACCTGAGAGGATATTTTCTACCTGATGCTGATAAATTCTGACCTAAAACCCTATTTCTGGAAACTCAGCTGCAGGGTTAGGCTACAAGTTCAAGACGCAGGAGAGATTTCTGAAATTTCCACTAAATAATTTTTAAATATATCAAATTTGTTAAAGAAAAAATGAACATGGATTTTTAATAAATTCAGGTTATTTGATCCCAGGTAAGTCACAGATTTAAATGTGAGCTCTGATTTCCAAAGTTCACTCACATCTCCAGTTTTATGACTCATTTCTTGGAAGCWCGTTCGATATGAACCTGGCGTCTCTCTCGAATCCAAAGTTCTCCTCAGGCTTCATCTCCCTGCCTGCGAGTCAGCGTTACATAAAACCAAGTCTTCCTGCAGTGCAGTGTGCTGTTATCAGAGTGTCCAAACCGTCTCCACCTCCACCGTATCGCCTCCCTCCATCTGAACCCTAATCCCATCTGTCTCCTCTGGTCCACTTCCTCTCTCCGTGCTGCACCCATCCTGCCGGCTCCACCCTCTCTGTAAGCATCCTCTCTCTGCAGGCGGGCCGAGCTGATGGCTGCGACYCGGCCCAGCCTCACCTTATCATTACTCCTCACACCCCTTATTGTATATCCTGATTATAACAGGGCTGGGAATATCACGCTCATGCAGGGAGACATATAGGCATCATATGAGATTAGATTTAATTAACACGCTGAGGTGAAGCCACCAATGAGCACCACATCCATCATGAGGGGATGAAAGGATAATTAGGCAACAGAGGAACTAAATACAAACATTTAGGTGCACTGAAAACCCAAGCGATGCCAAATATTATCTTCAAGGTGTTTTAAGGTGATTCTCTGCTGACTGTATGCTGCATAAATAACTTTACAGGGTATCTGCAGGTTTTAGCAAGTCAAATTTAAGACTTTTTAAGACTTTTTAATACCAACTTGAATGAAATTTAAGACCAAAAATACAAGCGAAGGTTCTGCAGAGACGGCCGGGGAGACAGAGAACTTTAATCGCTTCTGCCCGACAACATTTAAGACATTTTTAAACAAATTTAAGACTTTTTAAGGTCTTAATTTTAGATATGTGAATTTAAGACTTTTTAATACCAACTTGAATGAAATTTAAGACCGAAAATATAAGTGATGGTTCTGCAGAGACGGCCGGGGGAGACAGAGAACTTTAATCGCTTCTGCCCGACAAAATTTAAGACATTTTTTAACAAATTTAAGACTTTTTAAGGTCTTAATTTTAGATATGTGAACTTAAGACTTTTTAAGACTTAATAAGGACCCACGGACACCCTGCTTTAAATGTTGTCATTAAGGACAAAATTTTAAAAATTACTGTTCGTTCTACTGCAGCTGAAAATACTTTCATTGCATCATGTTTTTGTCAGATTATAATTAAGCAATATACGATTATTTAAATTGCTTTAAATTGTCTCTTGCTTCTAAAAGAGACAAATCTTTTAAAGACATCCACCAAAAAGACCCCCACCACTCCCAAAATCTATTTATTTTGCCACAATTTCCCTGGAATATTCTCAAAATAACATGCATCAGGTAAAAATCTTGACCAAATAACACTGCAACTAAATGTTTTGAAGGAAACTGATCAAAGAAACGTTTTACTATTTAAGACAAATCAGCTCCAGCTCAGATAAAAACCCAAACTATGAACACATCAGTGTTACACAGAAAACACCACACGAGAAGAAACGACCAGGTGTCGTCTGAGAGTCTGTGGCATCGCTAAGTTTCTTCTAACCTTTTAGGAAGTCTGATCAGTTTTCAGACTGAAGCAGGTTCTGTGTCACGGACTTCTTCTGGGTCAAAGTCAGAAGCTTTTAGAACAGGGGTCTGCAACCTGCGGCTCTGGGGCCACATGTGGCTCTTTAGTCCCTCTGCAGTGGCTCTTTAAAAATGTGACAAAACATAAAATAATATATATATATTTTTGTTTTTTATCCTCACGACAGAAATATATTTGTATACAAATATGTGATCAATACTACCAATACAAAAGATAAAACAAGTTAGGTCATGCTAGCCTGGTATTTACTTAAATAATCCAACTTATTTCTATGATCTTTCTCTCAAATCCATCAGAATTACCTTTAAATAATTTGAAAACTGAATGGTTCAGTTGAACTAGTTTTTATGAAATTTGGTAAAACTTGTTTACATGAATCCGGTCTTATAATTTGACCTGATGTGCAAAAATAATAATAAATAATAAAATTCACAATATATTTTTTTATTTATAATGTCACTTCCACTGACCATAAAGGCTCCTGAAAAGGCCTCGAAAAGGCCCGCGGACCACCAGTTGTTAATTACAGTTGTAACTTGTTTTATGGCTCCTGACACATTTTAKTAGTGATCCAAGGCGCAGAAATGGGTCTTTGATCGTAAAGGTTGCAGCCCCCTGTTTTAGAACAAGCCCCGCCCCCCAACAATGAGCCCAACAGGTCAAAGGTCAGGTATCTTTGATGCAACTTTTCCAATCAGACTCTCCTCTGGTGTTTGTGTGGAAGTCAACACTTTCTAACATGTCTAACAGTGGGAGGGGCCAGCCTCGGCCACGCCCTCCATATCCCTTCCAATCAACCAATCACCTCCCAGATGAACCCCCCTCCTCACCGTGCACTCCATCTCCTCTGGTTCTGGTTTGATCTGTATGGAGGGCATGTCTCTTTGACCTTCTTCCTCCTGCTTCACCCTCACTTCCTTTGGCGTCTCCTCGCCCGGCTCCTCCTCGTCCCCACGGGGCGGCCGAGKCCCGCTCGCCGGCTTCTCCTCCTCCTCCTCTTTTAGGGTCGCGGGCGGCGGCGGGGACCGCTGCCGGGTCGGGGCGCTCTGCCTGGCCGGGCTCCTCTGCTTCTTGCGGGCACCGACRGCACTCTTCTTCTGCTTTGGAGTCGACTGGCACTGAGGAGGAGGAGGAGGAGAGGCAGGAAGTTAGAGGAGGCTAGGTGAGCACAGATGGAGGCAGGCAGGAGGGGGGTGAGAGGAGGTGATAAGGGGGTAGTTTAGGAGAGAGAAAACCAGGGGAAGTGGGTGGGAAGAAAGGGTGAAAACCATGGGAGGAGGAGGGAGGGGTCAGAGCAAGGTAGAGGAAAAGTTTCAGGCCGGAGGACAGGACAGAAAAAGGTTGAAAAGAAGAAAGAAAAAGAAAAACGAAGCTGCACATTTAAAGTTTACCTTGAATTTTAAATTCCTGCTAAACAAAAACTCTTCTCTACAATCTGCCAGAAAAACAAGTGGGGTGAAAACACTGAGGAACACACACCCCAAGTTTAGGAGAGACAGAAAGAGAAGAGAAATAAAAAGAAAAAACAGAGAGAGAAAGAGAGAGAAAGAGAGAGAGAGAGAGAAAGAGGAGGCAGAGAGACAAAGGCCTAAATCCTGAGGCTGCCACTGAGGGAATGAGAACGAAACAGAAATAACAGAGAGACCAGGGAGGAGTAGCCGTGAACTGACCCCTCCCTCGCTTTCAGTAGGAGGCAGGCGGACACACCCTTTTCTGGAAGGCAAGCTACACACACACACACACACACACACACACAAACACACACACAGAGAGCGACCAGGGAGTGCCAAAGCAGAGCGAACGCAAACACACACTCAGAAGAAGAGACACACACACCCCAGCTAAACTTTTCTGGTCTTATTTCAGACGTCCAAACTGAACCATCGAGAAGTTTAAAGTCTGATTAATAACTGGAGCCGAACATCTCAGCAGGTTTAAAACTGTCCGTTACAAGCCTGGATGAGTTTGTTAAATAAAGAAAAAACCCACAAAGGTCACTGAAATAACTTGGAACGAACAGAAGCAATAAGAAACGAAAGCTTCAAATCACTGCTTCTGAATTTTGGTTCAAAAGAACAAAAAAATGATTTGACAAACAGAATTTTACTTTTAATTTTAAGATCCGAGAGAATCGAGTGATTTCTGTAACTCAGACCTGTCCAGTTTTTTTTTTTTGTTATTATTAGAAACCTTTATTTTACAAGAAAAAACATTTAGTTTAAAGAACTCTTTTTCAGGGAAGTCCTGGAGAGGTCCACTTWGGTCCGCTCCTCGTGAGCAAACTGCTCCAGCTCTCTCAGGTTTAAGGGGTCCACAGATGTTCTGCAGGATTTAGATCAGTCCACTGTTCGTTTCTGAGTCGTTCCTGGATGATTTCAGCTCTGTGTTTATTATCCTGTTGGASAGCGTATGAAACGAGCACTCAGAACAGCCTTGATAGTCTTGAGATTACCACGAACCAATCAATCTGCATGGAAAAGCTGATGGGACTTGTTGCCAAAACGCCAAACGCAACGTTTTGTCTCATAAAACCGTTTGTGTGAAACAATGTTAACAGATTTTTTTAATGTCTACATTTGTTTCAATGATGCACACTAAGAAATGTTAATTTTATTTTTTATTTTTCAAAATAAAAGTGAAATTTAAATAAAATAAAGTATAAAAACACCTGATTATACAGTATAAAAGGGTCATGTTGAGTTTTATAAAGTAAAAACATATTGAAGGAAGGTGAACYGTCTGTGTATCAAACAGTTAAAGTTTTGTTTTTAACACAATAAAAACTTTCAGTGCACTAAAATATCAGATTGTGTCTTAAAGGGAAAGAGACATCAAAGTTTTGTAATAAATACAAATGCATTTTTTCGGAAGATAACAATGTTAACTTATTGTAAAAGAAGATTTCAYGCCACTAAGACGAACATTTGTTCAGATATTTGTGTGTGAAGTAACAGGAAGTGATGTCAGAGGGGAATGTCTGAACGTGAGCAGAGCGTGGTTACAACGACCGACGACACAGTGCAGAGAAGAACCTGATGTTTTTTTAGATTATTTTGAGTCTCTATCAGAAAGATGAAGATGAGTACCAGTTTTTTTTTTTTTTTGTTTCAATAAACAAAACCTGAATTTTTTCTTGAAAAGTTCCCCTTTGATGTCACTTCCTGTTTCACTTTGGTTGAGCCAAGCTCAAAAAGAAAATACGCAGTTATTTGACATAATGGGTAAAATTGTTTATTATGCCATGTTTTTTTAAATAAAAAGCTGTTTTCTTTGACTTTTTGTTTTGGATATGCATGTCACAGGCACTTTAAAGGGAAAGTGTTGGGCTTCAACCTTTAAATGGGAAATTAAAAAGTTAAACAGTCTATAAAAATAATGCTGATATTTGTCCTACAGTGACTTTAGATCATATATTTCCTGTCRTTAAACTTTTTGATTGATGCTTTTTCTTGCGTTACTTTTGTTTTGCTTRYTGAAACTTTAAACCCTGCTCTCCAGGCTGGCATGTTACCCAGCCCTGCAGATTCCTCAGTGAGGTGGGGCTTTAGCTGATCAGCCTGGGTGTGGCTGGACGCACCATCCCTCCCACACTCATGCAGTCTAGTCCCCCGCTCCAGTCCCCATTGTAAAAGGACAGAGCCCCCTCTGTGTCTCTGAACAGAGGTAGAAGCAGCTTAATGCCTCACCCCCAACACAACCAACAACACWACCTACAAAGTCTGAAATGTCACCATCTCCTTCCGTCAAAGCATATTTCCCTTTACGAGCTCGGTGTTAAACACTAATTAATATTTTGTATCGCGGGTCAAAGGCACGCTCTACAGTTGGCTCGCTGCCCTGGAGTTGAACATGACCTGGACAAATAAACCTTTCTGTGAAAGAAAAGCTTTTCTACCAGGAAATACAGAACTATTCACTAATTGAAAGACTTTTAGCTCATTTAAACTTGCTTAAAACCAGAGCTTTAAATGTCATTAAACAATTCCGTCTAGCTGGAGCCAGTATACATGTTCTCCCATTATCCATCCATCCATCCATTTTCTTCTGCCTATCCGGGGTCAGGTCGCGGGGGCAGCAGCTTCAGAAGGGAGGCCCAGACCTCCCTCTCCCCAGCCACTTCTTCCAGCTCCTCCGGGGGAACTCCAAGGCGTTCCCAGGCCAGCCGAGAGACATAGTCCCTCCAGCGTGTCCTGGGTCTTCCTCGGGGCCTCCTCCCGGTGGGACGTGCCCGGAATACCTCACCAGGGAGGCGTCCAGGAGGCATCCTTACCAGATGCCCGAGCCACCTCAACTGGCTCCTCTCGATGTGGAGGAGCAGCGGCTCTACTCCGAGTCCCTCCTGGATGACCGAGCTTCTCACCCTATCTCTAAGGGAGAGCCCAGCCACCCTGCGGAGGAAACCCATTTCGGCCGCTTGTATCCGGGACCTCGTTCTTTCGGTCATGACCCAAAGCTCATGACCATAGATGAGGGTGGGAACGTAGATCGACCGGTAAATCGAGAGCTTCGCTTTCTGACTCAGCTCTCTCTTCACCACGACGGACCGGTACAGCGCCCGCTTTACAGCAGACGCTGCGCCAATCCGCCTGTCGATCTCCCGCTCCGTTCTTCCCCCATTCGTGAACAAGATCCCCAGATACTTAAACTCCTCCACTTGAGGCAGGATGACCCCCCTGACCCGGAGAAGGCACTCTACCCTTTTCCGGCTCAAGACTATGGCCTCGGATTTGGAGGCACTGAGCCTCATCCCGGCCGCTTCGCACTCGGCYGYGAACCGCTCCAGTGAGARCTGCAGATCTCGTTCCRATGAAGCCAACAGGACCACATCATCCACAAAAAGCAGAGATGCGATCCTAAGACCACCAAAACGGATCCCCTCAACACCTCGGCTGCGCCTAGAATGGTTCTCCCATTGTATGTGTGGGATTTATCCAGGTGTGTTCCTCTCCCAGTCCCATCTTCATGTTGGGTTAAATGGTGACTCCTGATTGGCTGTCTCCATACATGTACATCCACGCAAATAAAAAAATCTGAATTGAGCATTAAGGCCTGCAGTGTGAACGTAGCCTCCCGCTGTACACTGCTCCCAGTCAGAACTCTGCGACGCAGACCTTGCAGCTCGGAGCGTGTGATTGGTCAGAACTTTGTGGGTGTGTTTGTTCATGAGGAGCAGGACTCTAAGCAGATCTTCCTTYTGGAGGTTGTTTTGTTTAAAATGATTTTTAGTTTGAAGCCGGTTGTTAAAAGAGAAGAACAGCTGATTTGATCCTGTTGAATGTGCTGATGTCCACGTCTTTTTTCCATCACCTCCGTTAACAAAAACATTTTTTTTTCTCCRCAGACTTTTCACCCAACACAACACTGATTATTGAGTGGGGAAAAAAAACACAATTTCCCACCATCATTATTGTTGTTTATAAAYTTATATGAGCTGTTGAAGGGCAGAGGGAGGAATTATGATTATTCATGGCCCGCCGTGTCTTCAGCCCCTTTATACTCGCTCAGGAAAAAGACGTATGAAATGACGCAATCACGACCCGCTGTCTCACGTCGTATTGCTGAAGTGACCCTGGTGATCTGTTCGAGGTTTGAACGGGATCAAGCAACCCTTTTATCTAATCTACCCTGATCCTCAGACTGGATCAGAAACTAGAACTGAAAGACCCGGTCCCAGTGTTCATAAGAACCAACGTAAAACTCAGACGCTCAGGAGAAAAGACCGTGCAGCTCGCAAAATCCTCCACAACTCCTGCAAATACTATCYAACAGCATTTTTTACGGCATTAATGATAAATGCGTTCTGCTTGACAAATTATCTCTGATGCAGTTTTAAACGTGTGATTAAATTTTAATAAACTTCAAATATTTAAAGAATTCAGTAGCTGGTGCTGCGGATCTGAAAGCACACATTGGAAACAAAGTGCTCCATGTTTTATTCACCACACAGCGTTATGATCGTTAGCAAACACGAGCAGGTGAGGAACTCAGAGAATCTCTTTGTCTAATTCTGTTGAACAACAGGTGCTGTAGAAAAGTCAGTGTACCTCTATGTTCAAGAAAATCTAATCCCTCGCGTAGTTTCTGACTTTTAATCTGAACTAAATCAAAGTATTGACCGACTGGAGACAAGCCTGAAACCCCAACATACTGTRAACCAGAGCAGCACACTGATCCAAAACCTGGATTAAATCTGGTTTGTAAATCATTTGTTGATGTTTAATCTAAGCCGGTGTGGGGCAGGAGGGAGGCGGACAAAGTGAGAAAGAAATTACAGGTTAAAAACAAAACTAAAAATCTAAACTTTTGTTTTGAAGTCAGCTCAGGTTCCAGATCTCACACACACACGCATCAGCGCCGCAAACAGAACCGAGCAAACACAGGAAATCTGTAACAAATCCAGGTTGATCCACATCTGCTCCCCGACAAGCCAGGGAGGGAGTGTGTGTGTGTGTGTGTGTGTGTGTGTGTGTGTGTGTGTGTGTGTGTGTGTGTGTG